TATTTTGTTGAGGGAAGAGATATCATTGTAACTTGTAAGATATTCTGATCCCTAGCTAATTTACAAATTGAACAAAATAATGTCAATTTTCAGTTCAAATAGTTTTCTTCTAAAGTCTTGATATTTTCTAGCTTTTGCTATTTATGAAACTATGAAGCATAATATTTTATTCTCATGCATTTCTCTCTTTTTCAATGAAGATAAATACTCCTTCCGTCTAATTGCAGCTTTAGCTCTTTTAATGTCCATTTAGAAAAATAATAAATAAAAAATATAGCTTACTAAATATAGAGGTAACTTAGTAAGTTATTCCTTTTTAAAAAAAAAAAAAACTTAAAGATTATATATATGAACTTATGGTCAATGTTAAGAAGTTTGACTCTCGAAATTCGAAAAGTATTATCTTTCTTGAAACGAAGGGAGTATTAATATAATACTAACGGTATAGTTTGAAACAATTGATAATTTTAATTTTGAATTCCTAAGGTGACAATTATTTTGGGATAATTTTTTGAGTTAAAACATCAATTAAAATGGGACGGAGGAAGTAAAGCACATGGACAGACAATCTTCAATGTTGGTTTGTATCTAGCACACATTTTTTTACATGGTCCTCTTTACGTACACTTTTGAGAGAGGATATCAATTTAATTAAAAAGAGTCCTTGTAGTTATAATACAGCATCGAAATGAAGAAAAGGAACTTACACATTATAAGGAAGTATTAATTAGGTGAGATACACTTTAATACATGTTTGTACCTCATACAATCAAAATAAGTTTTAAAAAAAAAACTCATTTGTCTAATTAATCTTTATTGTTAATCATCATTTATAGCTTGTTCGGGCAAGCTTCTTTTTGGCCAAAAGTGATTTTTTTGCTGTTGTTGCCAAAAGTGCTATTTTTCAAAGTTTAGGTGTTTGGCCAAGCTTTTAGAAGGAAAAAAGTACTTTTGAGTAGAACAAGTTTTTGAGAAGCAGAAAAAAATAATTTCTTCCCAAAAGCACTTTGAGAAAAGTACACTTAAAAGCACTTTTAAAAGCCCAAATACTAATTGTTGCTCAAATTTTTTAAATTAATTAGTCAAACACAAATTGTTTCTCACTGAAAGTACTTTTTTACAAACACTTTTGAGAAAAACACTTTTCAAAATAAACTGATTTTAGAAGATTGGTCAAATAGGCTATTAGACGGTATCTGATCATCATGATCTAGACAAACAAGTCACGATATGACGTTCCACGATATTGATCATTCAAATAAACTTATAATTATTTGCTCAAAGCTTTAGTTTAATAATTTAGTCATTATTTTATAAAAAAAATTTCACATAACTAGGAATACACATACAGCGCACGTGCCGAGAAACTAGTATATATATGTGTGTGTGTGTGTGTGTGTGTATGTGTGTATTATCATATATAATCAATGTATAATTCATATATCGCCTAAAAAATAAATAATAAATTCAATTGGCTATTTGTGTAAATATTCCAATTTCTAATGTGCAAGTTTTTGGAAAAATGACACTGTATAGCTGCTGTAAAAATAATAGAAATATGTATATATTTGCATTTTGTATGTTATATACAAAAATTATACAAATTTTATACACTTTTTCGGCTACCAGTAGATAATTTTTGTCGTGGCTGAAAGTGATAATACCCCAGTTTTTTCTGGGAATCCAATTGGCAGATCATGCAAGCCTTTTTTTCTAGGACCGTGGGCAAAGTTATCTGGATATCCAAATCAAGAAGGTACTTCTTTCCGTAAAAATTATACGGAACGCCTTATTTGGTCGCCCTCTTTTGACTTATACTTACTTTTTAATTTTTTTGACTAATGCCCACAGTTTAAACAATTCAGGCCTTTTTCTCTTCCTCCTCCTCCTCCTCCTCCTCCTCCTCCTCCTCCTCCTCCTCCTTCTTTTTCTTCGCAGTGAAAATAAATGTGACAGTGAATTTATATGGTGTTTGTGAGTATATTTTAAGGTGGTTTATGATGTTTTAGAGTAGCGAGATGCTTTGGCGCTTTATTTTTTACTAATGTTTAAGATTTATTATTCTTCTTCTTCTTCTTAATTGCAAAATAGATTTATTAGATTTATTTTTATTTTGACAAATTGATTATTGTGGTTTGTTCTTGATAACATTTGGAGGTTATGTTTTAAATAGAAGCTCATTTGAAGTAGATTTATGTGTTAAATCATGTATTGGATTGTTGAAATTTGAAGAACAAATGTCTATTTTTGGTCAATTTGCACTTTAGACCTATTTGACCTTAAGTACCTGAAACATTGGTTGCATAATTCAGTTCTATTTGTCCTTAAGTGCATCTGAAATGAAATTTTTTTTCATTTCAGACCTATTTGGCCTTAAGTGCATGAAAACATTGGTTGCACTTCAGACCTATTTGGCCTTAAGTGTATCTGAAGTACAAATTTTTTCACTTCAGACCTATTTGACCTTAAGTGCATAAAATATTTGTTGCACTTCAGTCTTATTTGGTCTTAAGTGCATCTTAAACGTAAGTTTTGTACTTTAGACTTAATTGGAACTTCAGACCCGATGAGTCTGAAGTTGATCCCAAAATAGGTAGGCTTGCAAATTTTGTACAAAGTAGGTATAACTTCAATTATAACTCGAAAACTAGATATAGATACAAATGCCCCTTTCCTTCCTTCCAATCTTTCTCAATAACCACATCGGCTAATTTATGCAAATGTCCTCTTTTAAGGTTACTGTTTACATCGCCTAATTTATGCAAATGTCCTCTTTTAAGGTTACTGTTTAGATTATGTCTCTATTTTCTAAGTTGTGTGAATATAACCCTTAAAAATTATATCTTTTAGATAAGTAAAAATGGCGTGTAGTAGCAACTAATTAAGGGTGTCTTTAATTTTTATCCACTAATTATAATGCTCAGCAAAAATAGCCACTACTAATAGAAAAAAGACAATTTTACCCTTTCTTCCTCTCTTTCGCGTTGCATTTTCATCTGGAATACCCAAGGCGATTTCACGGTCGGCCTCCTCCATGCTTGGTCAATAGCACCAGGTCTATTAGTGACCCCAATTACTAGGACATAACCAGGTCCATCATGAGATCCTTCTGATTTTGCTTCACTATTCATTTTACCAATACGTACCGTAGTTCCTTTTGCATCATCAAAATTTTCAAGTTCTGAATTTTTGAGCAGATGTCTCAATTACGTACAGTAATTTCTTTCTTCTTACCTTGTTTTTGTTTCTTTTGAGTTCAAAGATTAAAAGTTAAGGACCTGAGTCTTTAAGTTTGACATGCAGGTTTAAAAGTTAAGGACATGCATTCCTTAAATTTGACATGCAGGTTCAAAAGATAAGGACAAACAATCCTTAACTTATAGTTTCAAGTTCAAAACTTAAGGATAGTCAGTATTTAAGTTATTGTTTCAAGTTCAAAACTTAAGGACTTTCTGTCCTTAACTTTGAGTTTCAGTTTCAAAAGTTAAGGATAGGCAGTCCTTAACTTATAGTTTCAAGTTCAAAACTTAAGGACGTGCAGTCCTTAAGTTATTGTTTCAAGTTCAAAACTTAAGGACCTTCTGTCCTTAACTTTGAGTTTCAGTTTCAAAAGTTAAGGACAGGCAGTCCTTAACTTATAGTTTCAAGTTCAAAACTTAAGGACATGCAGTCCTTAAGTTATTGTTTCAAGTTCAAAACTTAAGGACATGCAGTCCTTAACTTTAAGTTTAAAGTTCAAAAGTTAAGGACAGACAGTCCTTAACTTACAGTTACACGTTCAAAAGTTAAGGACAAGCAGTACTTAACTTACAGTTACAAGTTCAAAAGTTAAGGACAATAGGTCCTTAACTTTGACTTACAAGTTCAAAAGTTAAGGACGCTTGGTCTTGAAGTTTGAGTTCCAAGTTCAAAACTTAAGGACATGTAACCTTGAAGTCCTGAACTTAGAGTTCCAAGTTCAAAAGTTAAGGACATGTAGTCCTGAAGTCCTGAACTTAGAGTTTCAAGTTCAAAAGTTAAGAACATGTAGTCCTGAAGTTAAGGACATGAGCAGAAGGGTATTTTTGTCCGAGTAGTTAAAGTTTATTAAACCAGTGGCTAAAGACTAAAGACATTTAAAACGCTGGCTTTAAAATAAAGACATAAGCTGTTAGTGGCTATCTGTGCACATCGCCCTTCTCAATCGCTCTCCAAACCCTTCAAAATCAAATCCAGTAAATTTCTCTCACTTATTTTAACTTTAAAAATTTCAATTCAGTTAAACGAAGTTGAAAATTAAGTTGCTCTGTATGCATAAAGGTACACATTTCAGGATGTGGAATTACTACGACGTGCCATGACGCACGCATCATACTCAGGAGAGAACAACAGAGCTTTGAGCGTTTTGGGTGAGAAGGCAATTGAGGGTTCGGTTTCTCTGCAATTGCTTAGAAAGAATATCGATATGTCCCCAAGGATCTCAACCGGGCTATTGCGGAGCTTTCGTCCAATGTGGTAACATCTTGTGCTGCTGATGGAGAGCGCTTAGGTTTGCAGAAGATAGTCAGGGTTTCACACAAGACAAATTCGTCAGCTCCTGCGGTGGTTTGTGGTGCTTTCAGGGCAATGTTCGGGGTAATTGCGATTGACACGAGTAGCTTGGACAATGCTGGGAAGGTATTTTTCGGAATTCACGGGAAAGGCATGGAGCAAGCTATGGCAATATAAGTAACCAACTGATGTTAATGTTGGTACATATATTAATTAATAGTGTGAGGAGACTTTGTTTGTTGGAACGTGTTAAAGAGTCTGTGTTTAGCCTTAATTTGCGCTGTCTAACTAGTTGACTTTGGTAAATATATAGCTTATGCTGTGTATCTAAATCGTTTGTGTGCCCTGCAATTTGAGTATCTTTCGAGCTGCAAAACAAGTATACAGATTGATAGTCATCTGGGGTAATTGCATGCCCACTTTCTAGCAGTCTATTATTTAAACAAAATTTTACTTATTTAACAGAGATCATGCGGGTAATGATTATAATTGAGCTAAGGAAGGCATGCTTCTTAAAGTGGAAAAAAATTACTCCATAATATTCGCTTTGCTAATAGTTAGAATGTATTGGGGAGGCAATTTCTACTATTCCATGTAGATGGTAATGCCAGAGTAGTTTCACATGGCAGTTCCCCACTTGCCATGTGATCACAAGATTAGTTTGAGTAAACAAATACAATGTTTCCTAATATATATCCAATTTATCAAAGTCTGTTTTTGCTTTTTTCCCCTACTATTCTGGTCAATCAATGCTTGTGCTGTACCTGTGTTTCATTATTTTGATTTCATACCAATCAGGCATTTATTACTATCTGAATCTTAGAACATGATGAATGGATCTGTGACGTGTTAATATCTTTACACACCTGTGGCTGGTGTTTTGTTCGTTCTAGCGATAGGCTCCAACTGCGATTCTTATTCTAAATTTTCTTTTCTGTTCTGGAATGAATCTGTTGAAGACAAACATTGGATTGTTTTTGTGTAACATATCCGTTTTTTTTCTTTGTCAGTTGCCATTTATGCTTGATAAATGTCTGTCAATATGCACTAGCACTGCTCTATACAAACAGGTGGTGCCTACGCCTTCTAATTAACCAAATCATTTGAAATGATCGCGCTGACATGAGAAGAAATCACTATTGTTGTCAAACACATTTCAGATCTTCTGCTAAAGAACTATTTTATTCAAGCAGCCCGTAAGTTTATGACGAGTAAATGGACGATGATTTTTCTGCTTGCAATGTCATAAAAGAACTCTCTGTAACATGTTACAACTCTTTCTAGCTTGTTTATTCGAATATGATAACACTTACCATCTTTGTGGGCAGAGTATAAGAGTAATGTCCCGACTGATGAGACTTAATAAGAACTTCTGTTAGTTTGGGAACTAAGTTGTCTCCCTGAAAATGTCTTGTTTCAAAAACTGTAAGACTGGCAGCTTAAGCATTCCTTTATGTGCGAGAGAGGAATCTGACAAGAATGGACCTTGGGCCTAACTCAACCTCAAAAACTAGCTTGTGAGATGAGGACTGCCCAAGACCATATAAAGAGACCAAGATACCCATAACCCACCGATGTGGGACACAACTCAACACCCCCCTCACGCCCAGGCCTGCAACTGGAGCGTGGACAATATAAATGGGGGCCCAACATCGGTAATAATAAATTGGGATGGGCCTGGCTCTGATACCATGACAAGAATGGACATTGGGCCTAACTCAACCCCAAAAGCTAGCTTGTGAGGTGAGGACTGCCCAAGACCATATAAGGAGACCAAGATACCCATAAACCACCGATGTGGGACACAACTCAACAGAATCAAAATTTAGATTTAGGTTGCTTTCTTGACAAGCAACCTAAGTCAGATATTTAGTGATTCTTTATGGAACATTCTTGTGTTTATTTCTGATATAGTTACTTTGTTCCTTTTCTGTAGCAATGTCTAGACTTTTACACTCACTACGAATAGGCTGTGGGACACTGTCGAATCCATTTGCCTATAGCAATTAGGTACATAAAAAAATGCACTAATATTCGATTATCTTCGCTTGCAGCTTTCTTGTTATCATGCACTTTAAGTTTTTGTTATCTATTGGTAGGCTTTTGCCAGTAGAATTGGATATGGCTTTCAGTGACTTCTAAGCCAAGACTTGCCTTTGAAGTTCTAAGTTTATGATTGGTATTCTAAGTCATTCATGGTTAATTTTATGTCCCGCAAGTTGGTAGTATGTGATAATTAGGTGGCCCGAGCTATCTTTGGCAACAATCATGAGTTGGAAACCAAACCACATTTGCAAGTTGATAAAGTAAAAAAAGATTGATTCCTTTGTCCGTGCTTTTTATGCCATTGGAATTTGACATCACCTTATACTGCGAAAAATCCAAAAATGGCCAGTTTTTCGCTTGGTCAATCAAATGTAGCCACATTGTCACGACCCCAAACCCGGTCGTGATGGCGCCCAACACTAATGCTAGGCAAGCCCGACCATTTACTCTCTCAACCCGAGCACAAAGCTCAAAACCAATTAATCAGATACTTAAAATCAAATATTAATACTCATAGTTGAAATACTCAATTAAAATAATACGAAATACTGACATAACTGTAACTCCCAAAGACCTGGGGTCATGAGTCTAGAGCCTCTAACTAATACAGAGTAAAAAAAAAATCCTCAAAATAAGTATGTTCTAAAGTACGGAAATAATAAAGGGATAAGGGAGGAGTCGGGTCCTGCGGACGTCATAGCAGCTACCTCGACCACTCCTGGAACTCTGGAAACCAGCGGCTAGGTCAACTAAGCTCCCGAAGTACCTGAATCTGCACACAAGGTGCAGGGAGTAGGGGGTGAGTACTACCAACTCAGTGAGTAATAAGCATATAAAATGTCTGAAGATAAGAAATCCACGAAATACCACAAAGTAAAGCTAAAACTAACAGTCCAACACCTAACTACGAACCAACAGCAAAACAACTTCAAATATATCAGTCAAGTATAATGTAAGGATGCAATGCAATGCACATGTAGCCCGATCCATTTAACGTCGACGGTGCTCACTGGGGGTGTGTACAGACTCCGGAGGGGCTCCTTCAGCCCAAGCGCAATATAATCATACCATTCGCTGCGGCTTGCAGCCCGATCCATACTCAGTCCACAATATGCATATGAGTTACGTAACAGATTCAATTAATTTCCCAATTTCCAATTTATTAAGGAGAATATACTTTAAATATTTAACTTCAGGAAAAGTGACTTAGCATTTCATAACAGTGATTAAACACAGGACTGAGATCAATGATTATACAAAGCATGCTATCACAATGACATTCATCCTCTAAGGATGCTACAGATCGGCACAAGGCCCCAAACACGGCAATAAGCCCAGATATATTCAATACAGGGTGCGTATCAGTCGCCAATATAGAAACATTCTTGTTCGGGATGGACTAAGTCTCAATCCCCAGTCATAACTAATCCAGCACCTGCCATGGGGTGTGAGTCACGCCCTACAATAGCGTCACAATGTGCTAAGCCGGGGTTTCAAACCCTCAGGCCATCATATACACCAACTACTCACCTCTAACCGGCCGTAGACTGGTCCGCAATGCCTTTTCCCTTTGTATCGACCTCCTCGCGCGTCGAATCTAGTCAAAATCACAACGAATACACAAATATGGGTTAAAGAAACATAACCCAATAAAAAATACTCGAAAAGTACTAAAATTCACGAAGTTGGTAAAACCCGAGCTCCGGGCCCACTTCTCGAAAAATTCCGAAAATCACACCAACGGATTCCTCGTCTCGCCACGAGTCCGTACATATAAAGTTTACCAAAATCGGAACTCAAATGACCTCTCAAATCTTCAAATCTTATTTCAAAACCCTAGGTCCAAAATCCCCAATTTACACCTCAAAAACATGTAATCTAGTCGGATTATTCGATGATAATTCAATATTATGGAGTAGAAATAATCACAAGTGACTTAACTCAAGATTTTCCATGATTTCTTGCTCAAAATCGCCCCAAGCCGTGTTATTTCGCAATAAAATAGGTAAAAAAAAACTAGCAGAAACGCAGCAGCTTTTAATAAGCAAATCTGGTCGCTAAAGACCCAAATCTGGTCGCTAAAGGTGCTAATCTGGTCGATAAAAGTGCCACACCAGACCTGATGCACCAGCACTCTTTAATTTCACTAAAAAGGCTCTAACTCCTTCGTACGAACTCGGAATTAGACGATCTTGTTCCTATGAGTCACAAATAATAATACGAACACAACCCTTCAATCGAAACTCAATTCGGAGCTCATTTGCCCAGTGCGATATCCATTTCGCTCGTTAAACAATTACTCATGTTTCGCATCAAAAACCCAATCGCAACTTGATGAAATCAGACAAAAATTTCCATATCAGTCCTATAATTCATTATCAAAATTCCGGAAGTCTCGGAATCAAATTTGGATCTCTAGAACTAAAAATGAACCTTTAGATCATTACATTTATGCTCAAAACGGCAAAAATCTTTCAAAAACTCTTCCAAAATTTATCCGAGCCTCATGGGANATAAGGGAGAGACTAATGTGTAAAACTAAATATCTGAAGCTACCCCTCAGTTTTTGCCTATAAAAGGCACGTCCAATGCCTTAATTCCCAGGTTTTGGCATCTGAAAATCCCTCAAAGTTTCTGGAAAGTTTGAAACCCCAAAAACCCTCTCTGTAGATCGGAGTCCAAATTTGAATTTCAAAACAATAGTAACAAGGCGTGTTAACTTGGACTGGTGGCATAAGATACGCAGCAGCGCAGTCAAGGAAGGGTCTGTATGGGCCAAAGGAATCAACGCTCTAAAGAAGCTTCGAGAATGGTCGGAGATCGTGGCCGGACCAAGATGGAAGACTTTCATTCGAAGGTTCAATCGGAACAAAAGCGGGAGAATTAATGCTAAATTCCAATATGACCCTCTGAGTTACTCACTCAACTTCGATGAAGGGCCTGGGAATAACAAAGAGGAGGAAGAAGAGTATGTGCTCCGGAATTTCTCCACGAGATACGCTTCAGCTTCAATTTCGCCACCTGCTAAGGTATCCATGGACCTCGGCAAAGATGGGCCCAGTTTCGTTTGAGTGAGAAACTGGTAAAATTATAATATTGATTGGTCTACTGATTGAATATTATTATGAGTTCAGTGGTAGGACTAGAAAAACACAGCTCATCATAAAAGATAAGTAGGTGCGTGCAAGTTTTCTACTTTTTTGGCGTATATATTATTGGGTATTTCGGCTGTCTTTTTCTTTGTTTAATTTTCTTTTCTTTGGATTTTTCTTCTATACCTTTCTGGTTTCTTGTCTGTATATTTCTTTTGTCTTTATCGAGTATTGAACATAGGCTTTCCACTCTTCTTTTATGGATATACTTCACTTTATTAGCCTCTGGTGTGATAATATATAGTAGCTGGCATTTGAATTTATTTTCTTTTCGGAAAACAATATCGACAATATGTTGTGTTTAAAATAATTTCTGAGAAGACTGTTTGGGAGAACCTACTTGTAATTTGTCTTTGTCTGCACTCTGCATAAAGAAAGATTAGTCTAATTTTAGTTAGACGGAGTTGGTAAAGCGTACGGGGTTTTGGTTAGATTTCTGTAGGCCTAAGTTTTCTTAAATCGAAAGGCTGATGTTCTTTTAATCTTCTGAAACGGTAAATGCTTCCGCTGTAGCACTAGCACCAACAAAGTAGAAGGGCAAAATGGTCTCTGGACCACCTAAACTTACACTCGTTTGTTAACTCGGCAAACGAACTTAGAACTTTTCCAATTAAATACTTTACACATTACTCCCTCTTATCCGCAATAAGTGACCTCTTGGCACATCCATTAAGGAAATACTAAATTCTAGACGAAAATACTTAGTGTGACTAAACTATCCTTCATTAAGTGTTTCACCATAAATATAGTAGTACTTACTTCTCTTCTCAAATGTGAGGAGTAAATGACTTTTTAGGGATACATACATAAGGGTAATTTTTAAAAAATAAATTAAATTTTTTCTTGATTATATAAATGAACACTTATTTTGGACCAAAATAACAAAGCAAATTAGTCACTTATCGTAGACCGAAGGGGCTAATAGACACTTTCGATCAAGCATGCTCCTCAATCGCTCTGACAACGTGTCATATGCTAAGCTTTTTGTTGTCTGACATGTGCAATTTTTGGGTTCTATATTTTTCACAAACCAATTTACTAAGTGGAGTTTTGACATAAGAATTGTAAAATTCAAAAAAAAAAAAAAAAGTAAAAATGGTATTAAAAAATACAGTTGTATTTGGAAATGAATATAACTTTGGATGTTTTTGAATTTTTGTGAGTAATCTGAGTGAAAATTTTGAAATACGGCTTTTTGGTGTTTTTCAAAATTTCAAAAAATTCCAAAATGCAACTTTAAGTGAAAATTAAAAATTTTATAATTTGAAAAAAAAAATAAAAATTTTTCGAAAAGAAGGGAAAATTTTCTTATGTACAAACGGGTTCTAAATTTCTATTATTTGGTCTTTTTTCTTTCTCTTCCTCTTCACCATATCTCCACTAGGATAGCCTGGAGTTCAGCTCAATACTGGTCCTCCTTGCTCAAGAATGAGACTCAAAATGCCTCGACAAAGTGGTCACAAACTGAAGCCAACTCCCCCAAGTTCAACGGACTCAAATCCAGTTCACGCAACACGAATAATTCAGTGCCAACTAAGCACCAGTTTGCAGATTAAGAACTTGACAAAAATGACATAATTGTAGCTGCAAATTTTAAGTCTAAGCTAGAAGATTAAACCAGCAGTTAAATTGAATGAAACTAGCAGTAGCAATTAAATTGAAAGAGCAACTCCAAATGGTTTTTAAGCACGACACCAATCGAATTTCCAATACCCAACAATCTAAGGTTCAATCGTCTCACTTCTAAGATTTGATATATACACTTTCAGATTATAGCAGCAATAACACAATTTCAGTCCAAGGAATTAGAAATCACAAGTATATCCTCAATCAATTTTTTTCAACTTAAATCTCTCCTCATTTGCAAATGCACCACGTTTGGTTAGTTGTTAGATTTGGGGAAAAGGTTTTAATTTTAATCTGGGTTTGATTTTGACGAAAGTGGAGGAAGGGGAAAGGAAGAAGTGGGTGGGGGCAACAGGAAGTCAGGAACTAAGGGCTGAGAGAGATAGAAAAGAATTTAGGGAGGGGGTGGGGGGGGAGGGGGTAATATAGGTAGGGGGGGGGGTAGAGTATGGATGATTAGAGACCGGGGTTAAGCGAGGGATTGGGGATTTTTCGTTTTACTTTTTAAGTTTTACCGTATTTGCCTTTTTTTCTTTTCTTATTCAGTATTTTAATTTATTTTAAATAAAATAACTTGGTCCACACGTCTTTTCAGCGTGATTAATGCACATCTTGATCATATTAGCTTAGGTTTTTGCCACATAAGCATGGTCAATGGTCAGAGTGGTTTATTAACATGCAAATAGTTAAATTGAAAAGTTCAAATGAGAAAGTGTTAACCTCGAAAAATGTAAGTAACGATTAAAGATAATTGTAGGTTTAAAGATNCCTCAAATTCGATAGGAACCCGTTTCAAACCTCCACAAAACTGACGATGATACAATAACCACGAAAACCATACAGCTAACACCCGAATCACCAATTCACAACTAATACCAACGGGCACACACCCCACAAGCTAGAACTCAAGAAGCATAGAACGAAAATGATGGAATATGGAAAGGAAACACATAAAGGAACTATCAAACAAGTCCGTCAAGCACAAATTTTTCTATCAAAACTAATTTACAAAACAATCTACAAGAAAGAACTAAAAGCATACAAAATAATCACAAGGATCTCATACTGATATAACTCCCACCGCGGTACACAGCCCGGTCTTAACACATCAAGTCACATGAAACAACGAGGGTCCTGCCCTCAACTCTGAATCTCAAGTAGGGTACATATCAAATTAGTTGGAAACTCTCACTAGATTAATTCTGTCACAATTTATAACAAGTACTGGCTCCCACACCTGTGGAGCATAAAATCACGGCTCATAGCCAAAAATACTCATAAATCTTATCAAGCCTACCGAAAAGGACAACAACAATTTACTACTAGTCTCATAACTCTCGATAATAAATAAAAATAGACGATAGACACGACTATCACTCATAGAACCTTCCAACAGGGTTACACATAAACAGAGTGCAAATCATGGAACGCATCCATAAGTGGAGAAACAAATAGGGGAACTCACCCCGATAAGCAGAACTGTATTGAACTACGGATGGTGCTCCTCTATAACAAATCAAAATCATACCTGAATGACATCATCTGGCGCAACGGCCTTAAGCCTACTATATGAAACACATCAACGGGCCGCGCCTCCCCCTCTTGGGCGCCCTCTACTGACCGGAATACCTTGCTGTGACACATCTGCCTGAAATCTGGGGATATCCCTCACCGTGTGGCTAGTATCTCCACACTCAAAGCAACCCCTCTACTGACGTGGCTGTGGGAACTGTGCGGTGTGGGTACTTTAAGACCCATGAACACCTAAATCACTATGTGAAGCCTGAAGCGCAAATACCACCTGCTGAAACATCTGACTCCAACTCTCGAGCCATGCTGAACCGAAGTGACTGAGGTACAAACTCTCTCAAAACATCTCCGAAACTGAACTCATATAAGTGAAGTTGCATCGGTCGATTAACCAACTCATATGTCCACCACCACTGATAAGCCGCTCCGTCAAGCTGGAACGTAGTAAAAGCAACCCCACTCGTCTCTACAATACCCATAGTGCTGATAACGCGATGAAACTCCTCTATGAAACCCATTGTGCTCTATTAAGCCAACCCGCTGAATGTAGGAGGGTCATATTTTCTTGAGCCTTGCAAATCTAAGTTGCTCTCCCTCGGATGTTGCTGCCCTGACCATGGGCTGAACTGGAACCACAAATTGTGTCGCCATGACGCTTTGAACCTGACCAACGGAAACTCGCTGCTCTGAGTGTGGTCTAGCTGCAGCATGTACTCCTTGCCAGCCTCTGCCTCTAGCGACACCTGCTCTGGGAGCAGCGCCATCGATAACTACAGCTCGTGTCCTCACCGTCGGTGAGAGAATAGAATGATAAAAGTTCAAACTCTGGGATCAATAAGCTCGCACGATAGGAATGAAAGAAGTGAGATTGTCCTAATAGTTCCGTAGCCTCTCGAAGATAAGTACATACGTCTTCGTACCGATCCGCAAGACTCTACTAAACTCGCTTATAACTCGTAACACCTATGAACCTAGAGCTCTGATACAAACCTGTCACGACCCAATTTTCCCTCCGTTGGGTTTCGTGATGGCACCTAGTCTTAAGGACTAGGTAAGCCTAATAATTGCGGAATAACAACAATGAATAATAACATCTAAAATTCTTCTGAAATAAATCCCTTATACAATGAACATCTTCCCAAAACCAGGTAGTACAAGTCATAAGCTCTACAGAGTTTTCGCTACCATTTCTAATCACAACCATATGAAAATAAGTACATCAAAGAGAATATAAAATAGGAAGGTGACTCCGAAGCCTGCGAACGCAGTAGCAGGGCTACCTTGAGTCTCCTAGGCAAGAATCCGCACAGCTACTAGCGAACAATACCTGGATCTGCACAAAAAAATGTGCAGAAGTGTAGTATGAGCACACCACATCGGTTCCCAGTAAGTATCAAGACTAACCTCGGTGGAGTAGTGACGAGGAACAATCGAGACTCCTATTGGTCAAATGAATTGAATAGGATATGATAATAAAATATCAAGATAAAGATAACGAGGTAATATCAACAGCGGAGAGAAATAAAAGTGCAAACAGTAGGAACAATAAAAGGAGAACACGGATAGTAACAAACGATACCAAGTAAATCAGATAAACAAGTAAATCAGATAAACGAGCACATCAGATAACCAAGTAAATCAACACCGACATAACAGAAACAGAGACAAGTAAGAATGTATTCAAATAAAGAAGGCAATGCCAACTCAATCACTCACATCATGTCTAATGCACAATCCCGACCATCTCAATCCTTGGTTTCTCA